GTTGGTAGTGTATTATATCAAATGGAGGATGGTTTAGAACATCCTGTAGCTTATATGAGTAAGAAACTTACCAAAAGTCAACGAAAATTTAGCACCACGGAGCGTGAATTACTTGCAGTTTTACTAGGAATTGATCACTTTAGATATTATCTTGTAGCTCGTCACTTTACCGTTATAACTGATCACTCTTCCCTTGTTTGGCTTAACAACATGAAAAAACCCTCACCCCGTTTAGCGAGATGGATTCTCCAATTGTCGCAATATAACTTCTCTATAGTACATAGAAAAGCTGCAGGTACTGTAGTTGCAGATGCATTGTCACGTATACCTGAGGTTAGTGTACTGGACTTATCTTTATTGAAACCAGATAAGTGGTATCCAAATATGTTATCTAGAGTTCAAGCTAACCCAGAGAAATTTCCTAATTTTAAAGTTGAGAATAATATCTTGTATAAACATGTCTACAACAAATTTGCACAATAACATATCTGACTGGAAAATTGTTGTCCCCACTGAAAATAGAGAAGATATATTGTCACAATATCATGATCACCCTACTGCCGCACATTTTGGTGTATATAAGACGTTACAGAGAATACTAGTCTTATACTATTGGCCTAACATGCGCAATTCAATTCATAGATACGTTAAACGTTGCAAAATTTGTGCTGCATGCAAGCCATCTAATTTACCACAGGCAGGATTGATGGGACAGTACCGAAACATTCAATTTCCTTTTCAGTTAATCTCATGTGATCTTTTAGGACCCTATCCACGCTCTCGTAGAGGTAACCAATTTGTCTTAGTAGTTGTAGACTGGTTCTCTAAATTTACTTTAGTTCATCCCTTATCTCAAGCTACCGCTCCTGCTATTGTTAAGTTTATAGAGAATAATGTATTTTTAGTCTTCGGTGTACCTCAAATTATGACTGTAGATAATGGTAGACAATTCATATCCAAATTATTTAAAGATCTTATGCAGAAGTATTCTGTGCAAAAGATATGGTATAATGCTAACTTCCATCCACAAATTAATCACACCGAAATGGTGAATAAATCCATTGTGACGGCCATTAGATCTTATTGCCATGAGGATCATAAAAGTTGGGATGATGAATTACCTCAAATTGCACAAGCTATTCGCTTATCACAACATGAAGTAACAGAATCTTCACCCTCATTCCTGGTATTTGGCCGGAATGTTCCTGTTTCTGGTGACTTTTATGGTAAAATTGCAGACAATGCAACAAATCAGATTACCATTACTGACAAAGTTCACAGGCTCAAGGATATTCAGGAAATGCCAGCTATTTTTGATGATGTCCGAAAGAGGTTGAAGACAGCTTACGCTCGATCTCAGCAACGTTATAATCTTCGAAGACGGGATGTAAAGTTTCATGTAGGTGATTATGTTTGGAAACGAAACTACCCAAAATCTGATAAATCTAACCATATCACAGCAAAATTTATGCCTAAGTTTATTCCCTGTTTGGTAAATCGTGTTGTATCTCCTTTAGTTTATGAATTAAAGGACCGAAATGGTAAAAATTTAGGTCGGTGGCGTGTTAAAGACTTAAAGGAGGGTATAATGTCTACTGATGATGAAAGTGACTCTTCCGATACGTCGGGTAGTGTTGTTCTCTAATATTGTAAATATTGGTTTGTGTGTGGTTTTGTGCCGTGTTTTGTTGGCTTCCCAGTTATCGTTTTTCAGCTGTTTTTCCCTTCATTTTCTTCTCTCTATCTAGTTTTTTTTTTACCTAACTTCAGGATCTTATGTATCTTATTATTTCTTCCTTCCCCGTGTGGTGCTTCGGGTGAAAGAGAATAACACCACGGCCGAACCAGCCTGTCGTAAAAGGCGACTAAAGGAATCTTTCCCCCCCCCCCTTGTTTCTTCATTTTCCGTCCCCTCGATTTCCTATTATTTCTTCCTTCCCCGTGTGGTGCTTCGGGTGAAAGAGAATAACACCACGGCCGAACCAGCCTGTCGTAGAAGGCGACTAAAGGAATCTTTTATTTTTCATTTTTTCGTTTTCCTCAATTAATTTTTTTTTCTTCTGTTCTATCTCTCTCTTTCCTTCTTTCAGCTTCAGCCTGTGTGAGCCCGCCAAGTTATTGTGCTGGAACCCCTCTCGCAGTGCTGTGAGTTTAAAACTTTATGATTCGAATGTTTTCAGTGTTAGCTTGACTAAAGTGGAAGCCTGGAAACAGAAAAAAGCGTTGGGAATTTTTTTGATCGTACCTTCGCGCGTCGTAGGACGATAAACTTTTTTTCTTCCCTCTCTTAGGTTTAGTATTGTGAGAATGTATTTTGGGTTAGGATTTGACCTATGTTATTTTGTATTTCTGTCATCTTTGTCGAATAATATATCTGTATATTTGTAAATAGCAATTTGAGGGCCATGCTCTTAAAAATTTGTTGGAAGTTGACATAACTTTCTACTATAATTTGAGGGTTTATTTTTTTTCGCTAGTAAGGAAAAATAAATTCATTGGAAAAAATCGATCCCTTGATTTTCTTAAAAAAATGATTGATGGCGAATCCTTGTGGAAATACTATGAATCTGATTCCATGAGTAAACGCTATTATAGTTTTTTTTGAAAAGGGTTATACCGTGTGTTATCTCTTATCTTTACCATATCTTGATGTGTTATCAGAATTGATAACACGTGTATCTTATCTTTTATCTTTATCGTATCTTGATGTGTTATCGGGATCCTATCTTAGAAGGCTAACGTGAAGATGATATGCAAAATCATCCTTGTTATCCTATTATCTTTATTATCTTGTGGTCAGCTAGACCTATCTCTGTTCATTTGGATGGACAATGTTTAATTGTAAATAAAATTTTAATTTGGGTTGTTTGGCGCAGAGATACAGAAGTATAAATGACATGGTCTTAGGTTTTTTTTGTGTGTTAGGTTTTTGGTTGTGTATGTGTATTTCGGTTATTAGAGAACAACACTTTTCTTTTTTTTCCTGGATTTGACTAATATATAACTTTGAGTTATATCTTTGTAACCCTTTGGGTTATGATTTCTTGTAACTTTGGATCACTCATAGTTATGATACCTTTATTACCGATTATCTTTATAACCAATGAGTTATATCTATGTAACTTTTGAGTTACGATATCTGATATCTGTGATAAACTCTGATAACTCAAAGTTATGATATCTTCGATATCATTACCGATTATGATATATTTCTTACCGATTATGACG